GGTTCCCAGGTGGCATCACAAAACATACAAAGTAAAAAAACAACATAACCATAAGATTAACAAAACAAAATATAAGCATAAAAATTGTCACCATAACACACATATATTAAAAGTAATCCTGCCTATTCAAGGCAATTTAAAAATGGAAAAGGTTGGGAAAAATGGAAAAATGGAAAAATGGAAAAGATTTGTGCTTATCAAGATCCTCCTTGAATTGTGGTGCCCAGAACTGTACACAGGTGGTATCCCGTCTTCCAAAGCAGTTACTATACTCCCAACTCAAGAATGGGAAACCTAATGTTGGTGGAGAGGGAAAAAAAGATTTAAAGATGGATTTAACGCTAACCTTTAAAACTGTGGCATAGACACTGAGAACTGGGAAGTCCTGGCCCTTGAGCACTCTAACTGGAGGTCAGCTGTGATCAGCAGTGCTGCAGAATTTCAAGAGGCACGAATGGATGGCAAAAGGGAGAAACGTGCCAAGAGGAAGGTGCGTCAAGCCAATCTTGACCAGGACCACCCTCCACCTGGAAACTGATGTCCTCACAGCGGGATCTACAGCCACCTACAGAACCACCGCCAAGATACTACACTTGGAGGACTATCATCCTCGGGCTACGAGGGATCGACTAAGTAAGTAAGTAAGTAAGTAAGTAAGTAAGTTACAGGTAAGGCCTGACCAAAGTAAAATAGAGCTTTCAAAGGCTTGCAGAAGTTGTACAGATTGCTGGATTCTGGAACTTGTCATTCACACACATTGTGCTTGTTTAACTTCTATAGAGAAGGGAGGAAAGCCATCTGTATACAATCAGTAACAAACCAAATGAGCAATGGGAATCTGGGGCAAGAGGATGATGAAGTGAAGAGGGCACCCCAGTGAAGACCTTGGGGAAATTGAACCCTTGTTTCCTTTCAAAATAAAAGGAGTGAGGGAGCAGGACCCTCAGGGTGAGATGGTGAAATGGGCCGGAGCCCTGCTTGGAAGGAGAAGGCAAGCTTTGCTTTTGTCCCTGTAAACTGGGTCTGCTCCAGCTTGCAATGCTGGACGGAGTTCAGGCTTTGCCACAGACCCAGGGAGGCTGGTTGGCTCCCTTTCCCGGCAGTTGCGGAATTGGATCAAAGCAGAAGCCTTTCCTGATGGTGCTCCCAGCCCCCACCATCGACTCCAGCTGCAACCCATCTCTCCCTCCCCTTCCACTTGGGCCTTATCTGGGAACTCTGGTGGCTGCGTTTGCTGGTCGATCCCAGCTGCGAATTTCCTGCCGGAGGATAAACAGATTCAGGGGCCCTCGTTGACACAAGCCAGGCCTGGCAGGCAAAGGGAAGCGTTGCAAAGGCAACCTGTGAGACGCAGCAGCTGGAAGACAGGCGCATGGGAGCCCAGTCCTCACCCCTTCCCTGACAGATAAAGCCTCCAGTTCTGGAATCAACATGCATTGCTAGACAAGAAACAGGGCATTTGCCTGCACACGTGTCATTTCCCCCACTACTATGAGCCTTCCAAGAACCAGAGAGGCACAGTGGTTTGACTGCTGGACTATGAGTTTGCAAACCGAGGTTCAATTTCCTGATTAGCTTCCCTCTGGGTGATTTTGAGCAAGCCGCAGTCTCTCAGTCCCAGAACATCCCATTTGTTATAGGGTCACCTTAGGGTTGGAAGGAAGCCCTCATGGCGCAGCAGGTTAAACCGCAGAGCTGCTGAACTTGCTAACTGAAAGATTGGCAGTTCAAATCCAGAGAGCAGGGTGAACTCCCGTCGTTATCCCCAGCTTCTGCCGACCTAGCAGTTCAAAAACATGCAAATATGAGTAGATCAATAGGTACCACTCCAGTTGGAAGCTAAGCTCCCATTGTTAAGCTCTCATTGTTAGTCCCAGTTTGTGCCAAACTAGCCGTTTGAAAACATGCAAATGTGAGTAGATCAATAGGTACCACTCCAGTGGGAAGCTAAGCTCCCATCGTTAGCCCCAGCTTCTGCCAACCTAGCCGTTTGAAAACATGCAAATGTGAGTAGATCAATAGGTACCACTCCAGTGGGAAGTTAAGCTCCCATTGTTAGTCCCAGCTCCTGCCAACCTAGCAGTTTGAAAACATGCAAATGTGAGTAGATCAATAGGTACCACTCCAGCAGGAAGCTAAGCTCCCATCGTTAGCCCCAGCTTCTGCCAACCTAGCAGTTTAAAAACATGCAAATGTGAGTAGATCAATAGGTACCACTCCAGCAGGAAGCTAAGCTCTCATTGTTAGCCCCAGCTTCTGCCAAACTAGCCGTTTGAAAACATGCAAATGTGAGTAGATCAATAGGTACGACTCCAGCGGGAAGCTAAGCTCCCATCGTTAGCCTCAGCTTCTGCCAACCTAGTAGTCTGAAAACATGCAAATGTAAGTTGATCAATAGGTGGGAAGCTAAGCTCCCATTGTTAGCCCCAGCTTCTGCCAATTCAGCAGTTCAAAAACATGCAAATATGAGTAGATCAATAGATACCTCTCCAGTGGGAAGCTAAGCTCCCATTGTTAGCCCCAGCTTCTGCCAACCTAGCAGTTGAAGACATGCAAATGTGAGTAGATCAATAGGTACCGTTCCAGCAGGAAGGTAATGGCACTCCATGTAGTCATGCTGGCCACATGAACTTGGAGATGTCCATGGACAACGCTGGTTCTTCGGCTTAGAAATGGAGGTGAGCACCACCCCACAGTGTCGGACATGACTAGACTTAACGTACTGGGGAAAACTTTACCTCTTTAGGATTGGAAGCGACTTGAAGGCACACAACTACAACACCAATAACACTACCACCACCAACAACAACAACATGCTTAAGCGGCTGAGGGGGGAAAGGAAAGGGCCTGAGGCTGTTAGGAATAGTGGGAGTTGAAGTCTAAAACACCTGGAGGGCCAAAGTTTGCCCATGCCTGCTCTAACCACTACACCTCATTGGCTTCTCTATCTGCTGGAAAGGAGATGCCCCCCTTTCCATCTCACTCTCTGATGAGACACCCCTCTCCCCAGCATATTTGTTCAAAGGCGGTGGCTAATTATTCAATTATTCTTCAAATAAACCAGAGGTGCCAGGGCTTAAAACTGGTTTGGGAACAACACCTTGTTTTCAAACCCTCCTTCCTTAACGCCCCAAGTGTGGGAATTGCTTGTAATGATTACTGGGTAGGTAGGTAGAGAAGAAATGACACTCTGCCCATGCTTCAGGGCATCGTTGTTTGTTTGGTTTTTAAAGAGACAAAGTTAAGTCCAGGAATAAATTAAACAAATTGGTAAAAGTATTTGCTTAAATGAGAGATATAGGGATTTCAGAGTGAATGTGAATATATATTTTAATGACACATTTTTTTTGTAATTTTTACATTTTGTGTTAATGCATTTACATTGTTTTAATTTGCATTGTGTCATATTGTTAGCGGCCTTGGATCCCTCTATCAGAAGAAAAGTGGGACATGGAGAATAAATAAAGGATCCTCCCAGCAGGAAGCAGCCAGGTTTTGAAGCTGCAAGGCTATTAAATGCTAACCAAGAAAGGAGGAAACTATGAACATGATCAAAATCTGGCTACCAGTATTTAAAAAAACCCTAAAATCAGGACAATACTCTGAAAAAGGGAATTCCAGACATGAAACAATCAAGGCCAGCTAATACCTCCCAACAAAGGATTTCCCCAGGCAGGAAGCAGCCAGATTTTGAAGCTGCAGGGCAGGCCCGTAGCCAGGATTTTGTTTCGGGGGGGGGCTGAGTTTGGTTCGGGGGGGCTGAGTCTGAGTGAAAGAGGATCTACCCTCGCAAACCTTTTGTATCGTTACCCCAATACCCCCATGCATATGGGATATATTGAGCATGGTGATCAGATCATGATATGAATAAACATAACAGTTTAAATAATGCACCAGTAAGGCCTTTTCGCGAACCACCATCAGAATTTCGGGGGGGGCTGAAGCCCCCCCCCCCCCAGCCTTAAAACTGCAAGGCTTTTCAATGCTAACCAAGGTGCCCAATTGTAGCATTCACACTTGCCTCAAAGAGACTAGAGTTCTTTCTCCCACCCTGGACATTATTCCACAGATATATAACACCCACTTGTGTTGTTTCCAACACACCTCACAACTTCTGAGGATGCCTGTCATAGATGTGGGTGAAACATCAGGAGAGAATGCTTCTGGAACATGGCCATAAAGCCTGGAAAACTGACAGCAACTCAGTGATTCCGGCCATGAAAGCCTTCGACAACACATTAAATCCGTGAAACACAAATGTATAAAAAACCCACAATTTAAAATAGTTTTTAAATATTGTTCTCGAAGGAGGCAACCAGCCAGGCTTTCAATATGCAAGGCCATTCAATGCTAATCAAGGTCATAAATTGCAGCATCCTCACTACCTCTGAGGATGCTTGCCATAGATGCAGGCGAAACGTCAGGAGAGAATGCCTCTAGAACATGGCCATATAGCCCGAAAAAACCAACATCAACACAGTCACACATTCTTCCAACAGATAAGAGTTCTTTCTCCCACCTTGGACATTCCACAGATATATAAACCTCACTTGCCTAGTTTCTTACAGACCTCACAACCGATGATGATGACTGCCATAGATGTGGGCGAAACGTCAGGAGAGAATGCTTCTGGAACATGGCCATACAGCCCAGAAAACTCACAGAATAAAGTCATAGAAACATTCACACCTAGCTCCAGCAGACAAAAGTCCTTTGTCCCACCCTGGTCTTTCCACAGATATATAAACCCATTTTCCTACTTCCAACAGACCTCACTACCTCTGAGGATGCTTGCCATAGATTCAGGCGAAACGTCAGGAGAAAATGCCTCTGGAACATGGCCATATAGCCCGGAAAACCTACAACAACCCAACTCATAGAAAACTCATAGAATAAATAAACACATGGAATAAATTAAAGTAGGGCACCACTGCCCTCTGGTGGTCGCTTTGGGGACAGCACCCAAAGCACTATTTTGAATGTCTCCCTTCCTCAATGCAGTGCAAGCTCCTCCCTCTCCAGGAAGAAAAGTCCAGATTATACAAGGAAGTGGAAACACAAGACAGTTTTACCTTTGGAGATAAAAGTGCCCAGGGGTTGCTTGTCTTTAGGTTGAGGAAGAGACTCAGAAGCCTTCCAGAAAAGGTAATGACCCCCCTCCCCAATATTTTGCATCCCCCTCTTCTTCCTTTTTCAGTTCTAAGGGTAGTTAGCTTGCTTATAATAATGTATATGATAAAGAAAGTCCATTTCTTTAAAAGTTAGGAGGCTGGATAGTTTGGGGTAGTTATTAGTCTGATGTAATTAGTATTGAGCTTTGATAGTGTATATTAAGTGTGTGGTTATGCTGTGTATTGTATGTTTTCATAGCAATAATAAATATTATGGGGGAATCATCAAAAGGTGGTTAGAGCAGGTATGGGCAAACTTGGGTCCTCCAGGTGTCTTGGACTCCAACTCCCACCATTCCTAACCACCTCAGGCCCCTTCCTTTTCCCCCTCAGCCGCTTATGCGGCTGAGGGGGAAAAGGAAGGGGCCTGAGGCTGTTAGGAATGGTGGGAGTTGGAGTCCAAGACACCTGGAGGACCCAAGCTTGCCCATGCTTGGGCTAGAGCATTGTAGATCAGGGTTGAAATCTCTGCTCGCTATGGAAACCTGAGTGACACTCTCTCAGCCAAAGAGGCCTGAGGCTGTTAGGAATTGTGAGAGTTGAAGTCCAAACACCTGGAGGGAGGCCAAGTTTTCCCATGGCTGAAAGGTCAGCGGTTCGAATCCGGGGAGCGGGATGAGCTCCCGCTGTTAGTCCCAGCTTCTGCCAATTTAGCAGTTTGGAAACATTCAAATGTGAGTAGAGCAATAAGTACCGCTCTGGTGGAAAGGTAGCAGCACTCCATGCAGTCATGCCGGCCACATGATCTTGGAGGTGTCTATGGACAATGCCGGCTCTTCAGCTTAGAAATGGAGATGAGTACCACCCCCCAAAGTTGGACACAACTAGACCTAATGTCAAGGAGAAAACTTTACATTTACCTTTATAGTCCCCTCCTGGCACCTACATATCATATGGCCATGTTGTCTCCAAAATGGTTTGTAGGTGTCCTTAAGTACTAGAAATCATGTCTGTTATTATGAGAGATTCCCCTTATTATAGGGATGAAAAAGCCTATCCCTTAAAGGACAGGCAGATGCCCCTTATTGTTGGAAACATTCCCTATAGGGATGTAGCAAGCTTCTTCTTTTGTAGAGTGAACAAGACACAAAACAAAATTGACACCAAATTTGGACACCATACACCTATCAGGCCAATGAGTGACCATCACTCATGAAAACACTGAAAAACACAGCAGAAGGGACTTAAAAACCCCAAAAACAAAAAAAATACATTACAACGCACACGCAAAACCACATATATACACACATATATGCATACACACACAAAACACATACACAGAAAGGAGGAAGGAAGGAGAGAAGGTGGGAGAGAAGAAGGGAAAGAAGGAGGGAAGGAGAGAAGGAAGGAAAAAAGAAGGGTAGAGAAGGAAGAAAGGAGAGAAGGAGGGAGAGAAAGAGGGAAGGAGAGAAGGAAGGAAGGAAAGAAAGAGGGGTACAGAAGGAAGGAAGGAGAGAAGGAGGGAGAGAATGAAATAAAAAAGTGAAGGAGGGAAGAAAGGAAGGAGAGAAGGGACGAAAGAGAGAAAGAGGGAAGGAAGGACGGAAGGAAGGAGACAAGGAAGGATGGAACCAAAGAGCAAAGGAAGCAAGAAAAGACACAGTTAGTGAAGGAAGAAAGGAGAAGGGAAAGAAAAAGAGAGAAGGAAGGAAAGAGGGAGGGAAGGAAGGAGGGAGAGAAAGAAAGAAGGAGAGAAAGAGGGAGGGAAGGTTGGCCACAGCAACGCGTGGCGGGTACAGCTAGTAATCATATAAATAAAGATTGTTGGCAATGTGTTAATTTTACAAGGAAATACAAACACAGTAAACAATGAATAGCTACTTCCTCATTGTCAACTCTGCGTGTTAGAATTTCAGGCACCCATTATATAATATTTCAGTAGTTGTTGTGTGATTTCAAGTCATGAATGATTTCTGGTGACCATTTCATGGGGGTCTCATGGCAGGATTAGTCGAGTTTGCTCTTGCCGACCTCTGAGGTTGAGAGAGAGTGACTTTCCCATAGTCACCCCATAGGCCTCTATGGCAGAGCTGGGATGTGAACCCTAGCCTCAGTGCTCTAGTCCAAGGCTCACACTCAATACTGGGTGTGTGTTGCTATTTTGAAAACCTGGCAACGCTAGCATCTGGGAAACTACCAAATGATGATGTCATTTGGTAGTTCCCAGATTTGTACAGCATGTTTCCTCATTCCGGCGCTCTTAAAGCTTTGTAGCATTGCACTGTCTCAAAGAATATTGATTCCCAGCAAGTCATTGTTGAGCTTAGATTTAAACTGATAATTTCCTGGTTCATACTCCAACTCCTACAGTATCACACTGTATGTCTCAATCCAAACTAGATTCCTCAGTCCAGCATTTTTTGAGGAAAATATCTGATTCTGTCCTTCAAATAATACTTTTCAAATCCTTGACTTCTCTGCATTGTCCCTAAACCAGCGGTTCTTAACCTGGGGGTCAGGACTCCAKTGGGGGGGGGGGTCACAAGGGGTGTCAGAGGGGTTGCCAAAGACCACCAGAAAACACAGTATTTTCTGTTGGTCATGTGGTTCTGTGTGGGAAGTTTGGCCTAATTCTGTCGGTGGTGGGGTTCARAATGCTCTTTGATTGTATAAATCCCAGCAACTACAACTCCCAAATGTCAAGGTCTATTTTTCCCAAATTCCACCAGTGTTCACATTTGGGCTTATTGAGCATTTGTACCAAGTTTGGTCCAGGTCTATCTATCATTGTTTGAGTCCATAATGCTTTCTGGATGTAGGTGAACTACAACTCCAAAACTCAAGGTCAGTGCCCACCAAACCTTTCCAGTATTTTCTGTTGGTCATGGGAGTTCTTTGTGCCAGGCTTAGTCCAATTCCATCATTGGTGGAGATCAGAATGCTCTTTGATTGTAGGTTAACTATAAATTCCAGAAACTACAACTCCCAAATGACAAAATCAACCTCTCCTCCAACCCCACCAATATTCAAATTTGGGCATATCGGGTATTTGTGCCAAATTTGATCCAGTGAATGAAAATACATCCTGTCTATCAGATATTTACATTACAGTTCTTAACAGTAGGAAAATTACAGTTATGAAGTAGCAATGAAAATACTTTTATGGTTGGGGGTCACCACATCATGAGGAACTTTGTTAAGGGGTCGCGGCATTGGGAAGGTTGAGGCAAATGGGAACAAACTTCTCTCTACTTTCTCTTGTAGATTGATTTTCTATTTGTGGTGATGGCTGAGGCAGATCTCTCCCTAGCAAAAGAACCTACTGGGTTCTTTTCTGACAACTCTGCGGAACCATTGGAAGACCCCAGTTCAGTCCAGACGGAGAAGTCATCTCCTGAAGCCAAGCCTGCCTGCCAGTTTTTCCTAGAAGGACGTTGCCGCTTTGGTGCCCGCTGCCGGAACAGTCATCCTGGTGACACTGCGGACACCAGTCATGTAGAAGAGCAGAGGCCCACCTGCAAGCCTTCCAAACAGCTCCCAATGAGCAAGAAGCCTCCCATGAAAACAGCTGAGGATGTTATCTCCCGTCTCCTGTGGGATGACCAAGTGCCAATTGATTCCTTCTCTATTGGTTACCTTGACCGTTTTTTGGGGGTGGTGGAGCAACCCTTTACCGCTTTCTCCTGGGAGGATTTGGCTTCAGCTGGGCCTGGCGTGTTGGCTATCCCCAAACACAGGATCCATTATTTCAAATACGGGACTCGTGTGGTGTGGGACAAAGTCACTCGCACGGATGATGTTTTTGGGTCCACAGGAAGCGGAATAACCATGTTGGAGGTGATAAAGGAAGAAAAGGAGAAAGATCGGGCCATCAAAGAGAAGAACCACCATCCTTCAAATGAAGATGGAACAAAGGAGGCATCTGCTATAGGACAAGAGGTGGCCAAGGACAGTGGAGAGGAAGGGGATGGAAATAATGACAAGGAGACTGGGGAAGCCATGGGTAGTTTGAAAGCTACTGGAGATACATATGTCTCCCTGGATGGAAACACTGTGGAGAAGGAAACAGGGGTAGCCAGCTCAATTACAGATGGAAAAATGGACAAAGACATCTTCTGCATTGAAGAGGAAGGTGAACTAGATATGAAGGACAGCCTCACCTTGGAAAGTGGAGCTGGGAAATACTTCCCTCCTTCTAACAAGCGTCCCACCCATTTCATGGCTATCCGTATCACCAGCCCAGAGATCCTGGAAGCTGTGAAAGGTATCCAAGATGCCCTTTGTGAGCTTCATCCAGACTTAGAGAAGTTCTGCATGCCCTTGGCTAGCTTACACCTCACACTTGGCCTACTGTGTTTGAACACCCCAGAAGATATTGACAAAGCAGTTGCGGCTCTCCAAGAGCTGCACACCAACAGTCAGACCCTTCTGCCTCCAGGCCTGCTGCTCTCCTTCCAAAGGGTTGAGACTTTCTTTTCACGTGTGCTCTATCTGGCTCCACTCCCTGTGCCTCAATTGGGTAGATTGGCCCAAACTTTGGAGGATGCCTTCAGCAAGAAGGGCCTGGCTGTGGTTTCTCTTCCAAACAAAGAGAAGCTCCACTTGACCATGGTAAAGATCTCACGACGGAAGGGAATGCCACAATTGCCAGGAGATCTCTCCTGGATTCCCACTATTGACCATTTAGGGACACAGGCCATAGAGACGTTATGCTTATGCAAGTGTGGGACAAGTTCAACTGATGAGTTTTATAGCACTGTATGTCAAATAGATTTACACTGAAGATATTGTGCCACAGGATGGCAGCTTTAAAGCCCAGATTTACTCCATGTAGGAGAGCTGGACCAGCAGCATCCGATGAGAAGGCCGACAGGGTGGAAAGCTCTACTGGAGGAGAACAGTTGGCTCTCATTTGCGGTTTTGATTATTTGCCAGTATAATATGTTCTCTCTAGGGCAGTGTTTCTCAACCTGGGGGACGGGACCCCTGAGCAAATATTTACATTACAAATAATAACAGTAGTAAAATTACAGTTATGAAGGAGCAACAAAAATAATTTTTTGGTTGAGGGTTGCCACAAGATTGGGAACTGTATTAAAGGGTCGTGGCATTAGGAAGGTTGAGAACCACAGCTATAGGGATCTCCGTGTATTCAGTGGTCAAATTCCAGCAGCCATTAACTAGAGTCATGCTGGAGAACCTAGAAAGAATACTTCTATAGCATTTATAGGCCATCCAGAACAATTTTTTTTGAAGTTAATCACAGAATTGCACTGCAAGACCTCGAAAAACATTCTCTCAGGTAAAAGATGTTTTGTAATTCACATGAGGCCACTTGGTGGCACAGCAGGTTAAACCACTGAGCTGCTGACTAAAAGGTTGGCGGTGCAAATCCGGGGAAAGCTCCTGCTGTTAGGCCCAGCTTCCACCAACCTAGCAGTTTGAAAACATGCAAATGTGAGAAGATCAATAGGTACCACTTCTGCGGGAAGGTAACAGCGCTCCATGTGGTCATTCTGGCCAAATGACCTTGGAGGTGTCTATGGACAATGCCGGCTCTTCAGCTTAAAAATGAAGATGAGCACCCCCCCCCCCCAAAGAATCAGACACGACTAGACTTAATGTCAGGGGAAACCCTTTTGCTCATATTTCCCACTTTCACAGGGGTCTGGTGCTCCTAACCACAGCAAATGTGGAGGGATTGCTGCTTTCTTTGGCTGTGCAACACAAACCAAATACCTTCAAGAATCAGCTTGTCAATGGGTGGAGGGTAGAACTACATGCAAGCATTTCCCAATGAACAGCAGCTGGACATATGGAGTTGAGCCTGAATACCTTCCTGTTGTCATTGGCTGCTTGGAAAAAATGTTGTGCAAGGAAGAAATAGGTATCTCCTTGCACAACTTCTTTATAGGCAATTGTATGATATTATAATTGCTTTAATCAAGTAAATGCAATGGGATTTTAACATTTTATGTTGTTCTTTAAAATTGTGACCAGTTTTGAATCCCAATTCTTTGGTTCAATTGGGATATAAATATAAAATAATAATATCTAATGTAAGAAACTCAGAAAATTCAGAGCAGCAATGGCGTTAGTGTGGTGGAAAAAGGACAGGAAATGGCAATTTAATCCCATTTCAAGTAACCTATCTGCTTCATTGACTATTCTAAAGCCTTTGACTGTGTGGATCATAATAAATTGTGGCAAGTTCTTAGTGGGATGGGCATCCCAAGCCACCTTGTCTCTCTCCTGAGGAATCTGTACAAGGACCAAGTAGCAACAGTAAGAACTGACCATGGAACAACAGAATGGTTCAAGATTGGGACAGGCGTACGACAGGGTTTTATACTCTCACCCAACCTATTCAACTTGTATGCAGAACACATTATGCGATGTGCGAGGCTTGAGGAATGCAAGGGTGGGGTGAAAATTGCTGGAAGAAACATTAACAACCTCAGATATGCAGATGACACCACTCTGATGGCCGAAAGCGAGGAGGAGCTGAGGAGCCTTCTAATCAAGGTGAAAGAAGAAAGCGCAAAAGCTGGGTTGCAGCTAAACATAAAAAAAACCAAGATTATGGCAACAAGAATGATTGACAACTGGAAATAGAGGGAGAAAATGTGGAGGCCGTGACAGACTTTGTATTTCTAGGTGCAAAGATTACTGCAGATGCAGACTGTGGCCAGGAAATCAGAAGACGCTTACTTCTTGGGAGGAGAGCAATGTCCAATCTCGATAAAATAGTAAAGAGTAGAGACATCAGACTGGCAACAAAGATCCGCCTAGTCAAAGCCATGGTATTCCCTGTAGTCACCTACGGATGTGAGAGCTGGACCTTAGGGAAGGCTGAGCCAAGGAAGAGAGATGCTTTTGAGCTGTGGTGTTGGAGGAAAGTGCTGAGAGTGCCTTGGACTGCGAGAAGATCCAACCAGTCCATCCTCCAGGAAAGAAAGCCCGACTAAAGCTCACTGGAGGGAAGGAGACTAGAGACAAAGCTGAAGTACTTTGGCCACATCATGAGGAGACAGCCAAGCCTAGAGAAGACAATTATGCTGGGGAAAATGGAAGGAAAACGGAAGAGAAGCCGACCAAGGGCAAGGGGGGTGGATGGTATCATTCAAGGGACTGCATGACCTTGAAGGAGCTGGGGGTGGTGACGGCCGACAGGGAGCTCTGGCATGGGCTGGTCCATGAGGTCACGAAGAGTCGGAGACGACTGAACGAATGAACAACAATGCTGGCTGCTTCAAAACAAATTTCTGCAGAGATAAAACTCAGCAAATATGAAAATCACTTTATCCTGAGGCACAAATTAGCAACTAACTGCCCATCTAATTTCCCCAAGTGAGTGCAGCTTAAAATAGAGAAATTCCATCTTTTCCATGTTAGCTTTTTAAACATTCAGTTGATACTAGAACATCTAATAGAGAAGGAAAGTAGTTTGTCTGATATGCCTTGCCTTTCAGTGGCACACAAAGCTTGGCTTTGTCATGAATATACACTTGATCCAAGCATTAGTCATAACCAAGGACTTTGAAATGAAAGGCAAAGAAGTATGCCAGTTGTCATGACTGAAACAGAAACTTATGACAAACTTCAAAAGATTGCAAACACCATGTACACGCAGTTTCCTAAAAAGGAGAAGACTCTGGAGGGCTGAGACTGAGCCTCCTTGTGGAATTCTAAAATCCCCCAAAACCCAAAATTGTGCTCATGGGTGACAAGAGATGGCAAAACCTGTTTTCTGATAGTTCAATCTACACATACTTTATGAACAAAATCATTATAATATGCATATAATTCTTTTCAGGTTGTGTAATATGTATATGAAACATGCATTTTGTGTTTAGACTTGGTTCTCACCTCCAAGGTACCTCATTGTGTATGTTGATGCAAATACAAGTATTCCAAAAAAACCCATGGAAATCAGAAACACTTCAGCTGCAAGGTATTTTGGATAAGGGATACTCAATCTGTAGTAGCTACATCAGAAAAATAACGGGCCGTGGTAGCACTATGGGATAAACCAGGCATCCTCAAACTGCGGTCCTCCAGCTGTTTGGGCCTCCTACTCCCAGGAGCCCTAATGAGCTTGTTCAATTGTCAGGAATTCTGGGAATTGAAGGCCCAAACGGCTTGAGGACCGCGGTTTGAGGATGCCTGGGTTAAAGCCTTGTGCCAGCTGAACTGATGGTTGGCAGTTTGAATCTGCAAGATAGGGTGAGCTCCCGTCTGTCTGTTCCAGCTTCCCATGCAGGGACATGAGAGAAACCTCCCACAGGATGGTAACACATCCGGGCATCCCCTGGGCAACGTCTCTGTAGACAACTGATTCTCTCGCCGAAACCAACTTGCAGCATGTTCTCAATTTGCTTCTGACACGATAAAAAATCAGCAAAATAATGCAGACACATGCTTTCACCATTGTGTGTCTATGATGTCTGCAAACAGGCTTAACAAATCTTTTTCCTTGTGCTGTTGTAAGTTTCTGAGAAATAAAAATACAACCAATATTTAATGGCCATGAATATGTGATGTTTACACATTGTAGGATCACAGGTGTGGAATGGGGAAAATCATACTCATTGTTCCTGTCATGTGACTAATATGGGGAAATTTGCTCAGCCACTGTGATTTCTGCAATCTCTGCTGCTCTTGATACTGATTTTTAAAATGAACATAGTAACTAATAGCATGTTAATTCAATTACCATCCCTCCAAAAAAAATCTCCACAGCATGGTGCATGTCTTGGTCAAAATTAATGAAGGCACTTATAATCAAAGACACTAGGTTAAAGGAGCTAGCACAGGCATAGTCAAACTTCGGTCCTCCAGGTATTTTGGACTTCCAACAGCTGGTAGGCTTAGGAATTGTGGGAACTTAAGTCCAAAATACCCGGAGGGCCGAAGTTTGCCCATGCCTGAACTACATAGAACACTGGCAATTTTATTTTTGTTTTGCATAGCCAGAAGTCCAGTGCTTGGCCTGAGGCAGGAACCAATGTTCATTTACCGTGAAATACCAAGACAACTTATCCTGAGTTCTTTGGGGTAACTAAAAAGCGAAAGAAGCAGGGGATGAAATTATTTAGATCCTCTTGTTGAGGTATGCATTGTTTGGATGACCTGAAGCAACATTACAGAAACTTGGGACGTATGTCCTATACTCCCTGACCCTTTAATTTTTATTTTAGTCTCCTTTCCTGGAGAACCTGGATAGTTATAACCCACCAGGATAAGAACACCCAATTTTCAAATAATTTGTAAGTTGTTTTTTTAATTGCCAACTCCCAGAATCCCAAAGGCATCATGGCTGCTAGCTATGCTGGGTGGTGGAGACTGGGAACTGTCCAAAAAAGGTAAATGTTTTTCAGTTGTAGTCTGGGCTACAAGTTGGCACGAGAAATATGCACTTCTTCCTTCCAAATCATCCTTACTATAGAATAAGTTTCCAAAGAGTCAGGATGGGGAGAAAGATGCGAGCCATAAAGTAGCAGCAACTATATAGTGGCAGCAGCAAGGAGAACCGCAGTGGCTCAATGGGTTAAATCCTTGTGCCGGTTGAACTGCAGACCTGAAGGTCGGCGGTTCAAATCCACGAGATGGGGTGCTCTCCCGTCTGTCAGCCCCAGCTTCCTATGTGGGGACATGAGAGAAGCCCTCTACAGGATAACACATCTGGGCATCCCTGGGTGACGTCCTTGCAGACAGCCAATTCTTTCATACCAGAAGCGACTTATCTCAGGTCGCTTCTGGCACAATAAAAAAAAAGTATGGAGAAAAATTCATCAAGTAAGCAAAAGCAGACCAACTTTTTTCTCCCTTTTGGGAATCCAGATCAACCTTGCAATTTCTTCGCAACAGGTTGGCCGCTGGGATGTTGGACCACATGAGCAATAGAATCAAGTTATCTCCCTTTTCATCAACAAATGACTTCATCAACAAATAATTTTGCTTTGTTTTGTTTCATTTTTTTGAAAAAAATCTTTTAATCAAATGGAAAAAAACTCAGAGGTTTCTGAAAAGGAAAAAGGAATCTTTGAAAAATCCAGCCCAAGCCAAAATATCCCAAAATTACACATGTTCAAAAAACAAAAACAAGAAAGAAAGCAGGATTTAAGAGCAAAGGAGGAAAGAGAAAGGAGGGAGGGGATTATGAGAAGCTAGAGACTAAGGGCAGGAAGGAAAGGGAGAGAAAGGAAAAGAAGACAACCGGACAATCTTCCAAAGCTTTAAACAAAAACTGAAACAATGTGACGGAAGGGAGGGGGGGTGAAAAATGGGGTGGTGCATTTTCTGGTTTACCTGTGTAGAACTGAGGACAGAGGGAGGAAAAATAAATAAATTAAACTTAGCATGACAACTCCAGAACACAATAGCAAAGGGAAAGGTTGCGAGGATCATCTTGTGTGTTGCTCTGATTCAACAGCTGTCGCTTATTGCCTTGACGTGCTTCTCTTTGCCGCACGCTGCCACATCCACACAGGGTCGGATCAGAAAGTCTTTTACATTCTCCGCTGCATAGGAAAAAGTCTTTGAACTGGTAGGAAGGGCATGAAGGCAGCTTTTGCTTTGCTCTTCCTCCTCGGCTGGCTTTTTGTTGGGCTGGAGAGGTGGGCATCTCTCTCAGGCTTTTTCGGAACCAGGCCATAGCTCGGAAGAGGAAAAAACTGAGACAGCGTTAGTTTTTGAGGGGCACAATGGAGAACACAAAATGCGCACAAATACAACCTGGATTTTTCATCTTCAGAGAAAACCATCTGTTAAATGCATCGTTATAAAAGTAGAAAATTACGTGTGTGTGTTTTTTTCCTCTTTTAGAAAACAGTTTTTCTAGCATTATTTACAACTTGGTGCTTCTGTACAAAATCATATTTCACATATTTACACAAAAGGAACCATTTGTTGTCATGTACCACTGCTTTCTCAGAGGTTTGCCAAGTGGAATCTAGATGAAAGTACGGCTCTGGAAGGATACTGGTGTCGGTTTAGGGGAAAAATACCTAAACAAACAGGGTCCCCCGTGGCTTAGGAAGAAATATTCTGGATCCCTGAACACTGTTATGGGGATGAAGGGATGGTAACACAAGTAGAGCTGTTAAATCTGTATCTCTCAAGAATTTGTTTTACAGATCTCTCTTTTTTCTTTTTTGCTCAACCCTTCATTTTGACAATTTCTGACCAGCAGATGACAGAAGGGCGGTTGCTGCTACGTTCTCTCATGCATCTTGACACGATCAGAAGAAAAACAACCACCACGGATGATGTTAAACTGAAGTGTGAGAT